TTCATCATGGAGCTGCCCGTAGTGGTGTTTTTTTGCGAGATAAAATATTAATTTTGGCCAGGGATTCAAAATTTACCTTCTTCTGTATCATTCCTTGTCTAAAAGGTGTTGATTTCGCATTTCCTTATAAAATTGGTGTAACTGAATAACTGTGAAAAGTAAAATTATGCGCACTTTGCCCGATGGCATCATTCGCGCCATGTACGGAAACCCGGATACCGGAATCTGGGAAATTCGGAACCCGGATAAACGTTTGCTGATGGAAACCGAAATTCTGGGCTTTGGAACCTGGAATGCAGCTCAAGGAATCCGGAATCCCACTAACGAATCCAGAATCCAAGTTCCACACTAACTGGAATCCAGTATCTGAAATCCAGTATCTGGAATCCGGAATCCGGAATCCGGAATCCAGGGCGTGGAATCCAGAAATCAAGAATGTCCCTAACATAGGACGACATTATTTTACTGGGAGGGGGGGAGCAGGGGGGCAGGAGCCCGGGAGAAGGAAGGGTGGGAAGGGGGATCTCTACGACGACGGTAAGCGGGAGAGAAATTCGAAAAGGAAAGCTTTCGTTTTTTTGTTACTGCTTATCATCCGGTCAAAGAAACGAACCCAACAACTTCCATTTAACGTTCTCCGAGGCTTAAATTTTATATGCGAGAAAAGTCAAAAAACGAAAATTCGTACTCGGGATAAAAAAACAGCATTACTTCCGGCCACATTGGAAACCTTTTCAAGTCGCTTACATCATAAGTCACGAATGAGATGGCATAACACAAGTTCACGTGTTTCGACTGTGTCAGTCGTGTCAGTGTCTCGTCTCTCTCGCTAAAGGGCGGGAGTCGGGAGACAAAGGGACACAAGGGTACGGAAGGCGGGAGGATGATCAACCCTGTCCCATCCAAGTTTGCCCTTAAATAGATTTTCACTGTTTCCGTTATCAATCGATAAAAATCACTTGATGGCTAACAATGTTTATTGATTCGATTTTTGTCTATTGGCTACTCCAGGATGTAACTACATCCAGAACTGCTACAGCGACGTTATTTTGAAAGGGCGGCAGGTCTAAATGGTGAAAAACTGGGCGCCTACAAACCAGAAGAAAATTTTAAACCTGGTTTTGAAGAAAAGATAAGATTTTTCAGAATTTAAAAAAAATACATATGATAATTGTTTGATCCTTCGACAATCAATTGCAACTCAATTGTCGACAAATTTACTGCTTGCATGAAATCAGTTTTCATTTTTGGATGAACAGATGATCAGATATATCTTGACTACTCCGGGTTTCAATAGCTGTCGATGTAACAATTTTCGGATCCCCCCCAATATGTCAAATGAAGGCGACTTTTCATGGAGTTAAATTCTTAAGGATTTTATTCAGGTTCAAAAAGAGGAAGGAAAATTCGTCGTCGTATGTCCACGTCCTCCATAAAACGTCAAATTAGGAGGTTTTACGTCGTAGTCGTGCAGTGGACGTCAAAGAAATGTACTAAAAAGCGTGATGCACGTGCAGAGCTGTTATTTTGATTATTAATTAAACCTTTTGTTTTTTGAAGTCGTCATTGTGGTTTTCGTCGTCGGCGTAGTTGCTTAAGCTCCCTAATGTCGACAATCAACGACATCTTAGCAGCTGTATCTCTTCAAACAGCCTTGCCAGGCCCTTTTCCCACGATATCTGAAAAGTTATTAGACACACGGACGTTTAATATACTGCGCTGGGATAATCTGCTCTTCTGTTGTCATGGAAAACATGGCCTCTTCGCCGTTTTATCTTCTGCTTGTTGTAAGTACGAATTTTCTTTCGTCGAATGCTAAACCCGTTAGTTTATTGGATAAAGGTGAGTAACAGTCATTTAATGACACCAGTATATAAAAAAACTCTTCAAATACAAAATTAAAAGAAAAACCTAGCTACAGGTCATAAAAATGATCTCCTAAGGTTCTCTGTTTTACTTGCTAATTGTAAGTCATTTGATGACACCAGTATATAAAAAACTCTTCAAATATAAAATTAAAAGAAACACCTACAGGGCATAAAAAATAATCTCCTAAGATTCTCTGTTTAACTTGCTAATTCTCAGCCGACGTTAACGTTCACACGGCACGGCACCAGACGAATTTTCGACCGGCTGAAAAATTTGACCGGACACCTCGTTCACACGGAACCCTTCAATATCTTCGCTCTGTTCACACGAAACCTTGAACGGCTAGGCGTCTAAATTTTCGTACGGTTAAGTTGGTTCCCTGTGAACGGAAAACCTAAACGCAGGAACTTTCAACCGGCTGAAAATTCGTAAAGCGCCGTGTTAACGTAGCCTGATATAAGTCATTTAATGACATCAGTATACAAAAAACTCTTCAAATATAAAATTTTAGCTGTGATCCATGATACTGATTGTAAGTTCTTAGGTTTTTTTTTTCCCGTGATAAACTAACTCATGTAAAAATACCTACAAAAAACTCTGCAATAATCAACCTTACACAAATGGTTATTATAATAGATATTAGGGCCATTTATACGAGGAAAAATAAGACGCGAACTGTTCCATTTATGCGAGCATGTCTTATCTAATAAGACGCGTCTTAGTTAAGCCGCACCTTATTTTAGACGAAATGTGCCGTTTATACGGAAAGTTCGCGTCTTATTTAAGACGCGTCTTATTTTTCCTCTTATAAATGGCCCTAATATCTCTTAAGCTTCTCTATTTTACCTGTTAATAATCATTTAATGACAATGCAAAACCTTTTATAGTTAAAAAAGTTTTTGCTGTGGCTCGGCTAATAAACAGTGAACATTACTTAGGTTAGTACACTGTAGTGTTGCATTGCAAATACTATTACTTAAACTAACAGAGAAATCTTAAAATATAAACAGTGAGCTATAGCTGATACTGAAAATAACTGGTTCTGTTGGTGTTCTGTCTTACTTGACCTGTTAATACTAAGTCCTGGTCTAACAGAAAACTCGTCCAACAGAAACATTAAACTATTGCTTTCGATACCGAACATAAGTTCAGGTTTTCTGTTTTACTAGCAAATATTAAACTAAATAAACACAATCTTAAAAGAAACTTCTTCACCGTAAAAACGAAGGCTGTTACTTAACTTGTTTAATGATGGAAAATACTCTTCGAATAAAAAATTTGGAATAGACTCTTCACAAAATTACTAAGTGAACGTACATAATCCAGAATACAAATACCTTTTTTGTTTTACTTGCTCACGCAAAGTTATTTTACGACACAAAGAGAAAATTTTTGAAAATATATTTCTTTATCATCTATTGTGATTACAATACTATACATACTTTCTCTAGGTTGTTTCAGTGTTCTATTAAAATTTTCAAACACCCATTAATGCTTATAGAAACCTCATCAAATGGAAGCTTTGTCAGCCCTATTGCATACAATACGTAGCATCAATCCTGAAGGTCAGTTTCTGTTTCTCTTGCTATTATTTGCTTTACGTCCCCGTTTAATGATACTCCCTAATAAAGACCCTTTTAACAAACATTTTATACTGTTGACGGCGTTTGAAGGTTTTCTTCCAAAGTATCAGCTGAAGTATTACTGAAACCGCCTCGTGTTATTTTGAGACTGCCCATATTATATGTTAGATACAGATTCATCGTCATGGAAGCTAAAAACCTGTGCCAGATTGATAGGTAATCAAAAAGAAAACGTTAACAAAAAATGCGCTGCATTGTAATGAAAAACATCACCACAATCATCAATATCAAAAACATCTACTATAAATGTGAGAGGCTGTCAACGGTTCTTAGTTCAAATAGTTTTAGTTCCAAAAGCAGCATCTTTGGAGTACGAGTTTCGGAAGCAATCATTACATCTTAAAAAATTTTACGACACTGGAACCTCGATATAACGATCGAATTCCTCGGTATAACGAACCATTTTCTTTGCCCCAGTCATAGTAAGATACATAAAAAGAACCTCAACATAGCGATAGATTTTGCCAGCCCCTTCGCCCTCCGTTAAATCGAGGTTCCGCTGCATCACAGTTGAAGGGGAAGGGAATAAAATAACGTCACACTCACAACTTCTACAGCGGTTTACGTACAGCATCGCAGTCCTCGTCCGTAGTTCTTGAGCTCTCAGAAACTGTAAAAAATTAAAATGCGATTAAGTTTCACAGTATGTACTGGAAGTGAACGTTTAGAGTTAAAAACGTTTGTTGAAGTACTGATATCATTTGTACCTACAATCACTTTGTATTAATCCACAGGATTAGAAAGTTACTGTGTAAAAAAAGTAACTACTGACCGGGACTACATAAAGATGGTGGGGGAAAACCAACTTCAAAAACCAACATCCATCCGCAATGTACGCAAGCCATGCAATTACAACATGCCTACTCATTCATTCGGAGCTAGTAGCCCATATAATAACATTTGTATCCATTAATTTCGGCCTAAAGTTTTAGCTACATTTCAGTTGTTCCAAAATACAAATAATTATCATTAAAAATTCGGTTCTTTGAATCAGACCAATTAATCGACTGACTGTTAGACTCTATTCTAGATTTCATGGAGTAAAATTTCTTTTAACCCTAATCAAACCCAAGCTTCAGTATGCATAGTCTCTTCAATGCTCTGTTCTGCACAATTTCTTTTGCTACTATTTAACAACCACGCCCTTCTTCACTTGCTAAACATTTCCCTTTTTCTCGTCACCTTTATGTAATTGCTTGAGCAGTCCTTACTATTAGGACAAATCGAATGTCGGTCTTTCCTAAGAAGCAGGGGGTTAAATCTGCGTACAGAACGAAAACTAGCTCACCCTCGGGTCTGTTTGCATCAAAATATACGCGGAGGTAATACAAGCGCTAACATTCGCATAACACTTCTTGTTGGGTGTGACTGTGTCTGCTCGACGCAAGTAAGTAATTTTAAGAAACAAACGCATTGCTCACCTTTTGATCTCCGGTTGACTTTGTCTCGCGGCACTCTAATTACTTCAATAAAAGGGTGCATACGTTTGGAGTTCCTTCGGCCCATGGCGATCAAACCCTTTTGCGGAAAAGCAGCCAAACAATAAGGCCCGTTCGTAGTATAAACATCAAGTACGCTTAGCAAATCCCCAGTCCTAACATTAAACAACAGCAAATGGTAACCTCTTGAAGAATCCCGGCGGTCAATTACACATTCCTCGTTACTTATAAACGCACAGTTGGAAACATCATCGACTGAGCATAATGTGCGGAGAGTGTTTCCTGAAGAAGCGTCAAGCACGTGAACTTCTTGCCTACTCTGAGAGGTTCCAGCCGAGACAAGGACAAACTCTTCCGTTGGAGTAAACATCCCAGCTATGTTGCCGCGTAAAAGAGAGTTTCGCCAAGATCTCTTCCATAGTATACTTTTCCCGTCTGACAGCTGAACTGAGTCCCGAGCGGTGCATAACAGTTGATATTTACTGTTGCATTTTATGAATCTTTCATGCAACCATGGATATCTTAAGAAGTTTTCTTCAGATTCTTCATGACAATGTGAGATGGTCTTCACTATTTCTCCACTTGATGTGTCCAGGATGCTCACTTCACATCCGCCTCCCACACAGGCTACACATTGGTCTGTAACTGGGGATATATAAGCAACATTCTTTAAACTGGGCCAACTTCGGACTTCTTGTGACAAATTAAAATTCCACAGCTGAACAGCCTCGTCAGGATGATCTCTTTTCAAAAGGACACCTTTTGACACGGGTACAAGACAAATTCCACTAACTTCAAAATTTTCATCTTCCATGTATATGTCCATGAATGAAAGCTCTAATTCGTAATCATCTGCTGAAAAAAATTTCTTTCCTATAATTTTTCGGCTTGACACATCAAAAGCTATCACTTCAACAGTACCGCGAACACCGTAAATGGTCTTCCCATCTAAAGCGAAGGCAATATTAGAGACAAGACTGTCATATTGTTTGACATCTTTGAGTGCAACGTGACTGTATATTTCAATATTGTTAATATTGTTACTGCCGGGATATGCCCTTACTAAACATTGCTTGTTTAAGACAAACACAAAGGTATCAGAGGGTCGGGATATAGAACCGTCCTGGGAATTAGAGATAGGATCTCCCATCAAGAATGCACCCTTGCTGGGGCATTGATAATCCCAAGGTTCCAAGCATTCGTTTCTGTCAACATTAACAAGGGAAAAGGTACCCGAAGGCCACTCCTGGACTTGCAATTGAATTAGCTCTCGGAAGCCATTCAAAATTCCTGCTCCGTAAAGCAAACAAAACAGGAATTTGAGGTTAGGGGCAAACTTTATCATTCCACGTGGTTCAAAAGTGTTGACCTCTGCAAGTGTCTCAAAGCAATTTAATGCATCAACCAAACATACCAGTCCCGAAAAATGGGAAATCGCTAGTGGTCCTCCATCTGAAGACCAAGCAAAAGACAAAACTACCTCATTTCTGACAGTTCGAGATATTTCGTCACCGTTTTTTAGATTCCACATGATAAGGCATCGAGCATCGTCAAGGGAGTCAGTAATCATAGTATCCCCATTAACTGAACAAACCGAAAATCTGCAGTTGCTCCTAGGGAACAGGGGTAGGAAGTCTCCGTCACTTGAGTAAGCATGGCTAAGGATTCCAGGGAGAACAATGGGCTCAGAAGGGTGAAAAACAACAGAGCGATAACATGATAATATAGATGTGTTCGGCACCATTCTAAACGCGCCATGGTCTTCAACGTAACGTTTCTCGAACGTGACAGGACGTTTCCACATTAGCTTCCCCGTTTGTAGTGACCACAGCTGAATCGTACCATTTCTACATTCACACACCATGAACTCCTGCTGAGGTGAAATGTCAAAGCAAGCCACTTGAGAGGTGCAGCGAAACACAGCCTGGATTCCACTTATTTGCTCCTTCGCAGCTCGCTTATTAACAAACTTCATGAACGGTATTTCATGATATTGGATATGTAAAAGCTCTTTTGCTTTCTTAGCACAATCTTTTCCTCCCTCCTTCATCATCACTTGAAAGAATGTACTAGGAATCGCCATCAGCCTTTCGTGGTACTTTCTCAAGAGGAACAACATCGTGCTAAGGGTTCTTTTACTCCTACGACTCAATGCTCTAAAAAGTTCATGCCTCTGAACACGAATAATGTCTTCAGAGCTAGTCGCGTTGTTTACACACAACTTTGCAAATACAATCTCTAAGTCGATTACGTAGTTCTTGACGATTTCTTTAAAGCTGGATGCTCTCGTACTCTCTTCCAACTCGAGCAAATGATCAACACCATGCTGTAGGGCGTACCTCGCAGGGTCACTGAACTCTGCTCCGAGAACACCTTTCCTTTTAACATCATTTAATTCACCAGTACAAAGCTCAGAAAGGGCAAGGTGACCTTGTTTTTCATCCACAGACAGGCTGTGTTGCCCGTAAGCAGTTCTGTCAGTCAACCAGTCCTTAACTGATTTGTGAAAGAAGTGAATGCAGCCATCTTGAACAGGTAAAAGGGTTGAGATACATTCGATAGCCTTTCTTACTTTCCGGTGACAAGCTGGAGACTTTGCGTCCGAACGCAACATCTTAGAAACAAAGTCTAGTGGAAGAGGTTCTTTTGCAGCTGCAAAAGCACTAAGAAAAGTCAAAAACTGATCAGCACTTATCGTCAGTTCCTCAATACTTTTCAATTCTTTCTCCAAACGTTCAAAATAATTCTGATAAACAGATGATACACCTGAAGGTAACGTTCTTCCCGAATCCTCAGGGGTGAAACTTGAAAAGTTTTTGTTGATAAAATCGACCATCAAATAGGCGTATAAAATATGTCCAGCAGCTTTTCGGGCCAGTTCACTGATAACGACTTCTTCAAAGCCCGATTGAATAACGTTGCTTAGCTGTCTCTCAAGAAAGAGTCTGATGTCTTTAACGTTTTCCTCGTCATCTTGCTTGAGCTGAACAGGATTAAACTTTTTAAGACGGCCTGCGATGTTTACTTCCGGTCGAGCGGTAACACAAAACCGAACCCAAGCAGGAAGTGTGTAAAAGTGATTAGCAATGACATCAAGCAGCTCATTGCGGCCTTTGTATTCACTTTCATCCAAGCCATCAATAACTAACAGCAAATGTCTACCAGGGTCTCCTACGCTGCATAAAGGCTCTTCGAAAAGAAATTCGAACAATTCCTGGACTTCTAGACTGTTCATGTCCACACCCAAGTTTCTGGAAAGTCTCTTCACAAGTTCACGTTTGTATTCTGGTAAAACATCACACAGCTGACAAGCTAACGATTGAAGCATCACCTTCGGGTTTCTGTAACGTTCCTTGTTGTGCTGACAAAAGTGACTTCCTGAGAGCCGACCAGCGTGTTTCATTCTCTGACAAACGACAGCGGCGATCACTGATTTGCCCATTCCCGCATCTCCACTGATTACCATCACACGATTTTCAGAAGTACGGTCGTCTAGCCACAACTTGATCTTCTCAAAGATGTGCAAGCGCGTTCCCTCCTGGTATTTCCCAGAGTGATATTGGATGATTTTTTCGGTGTTAACTTTCGCCAATTTTTGCAGAGTTTCATGTTCTTCAACTTTATCTCTTCTGTCTTCAGCATTTACAACGTCATACGTGACCTGTTGCCGCGATTCTTGTTGGGTTCTCCGAAAATCCTCTAGCATCTCTTTTGCATCCTGTACAGACTGCTGAACACCTTGAATGACTTGGTGTGTGTCTTGAAGAGTTCTGTGGTCCTCCTGCTGCAATTTCACTGCCTCTTTTTGCATCTCTTGTAAACTACCAACTGCCTGATGTGTATCTTGAAGAGTTCTATGGTCTTCTTGCTGCAATATAATAGCCTCCAATTGTGTCTTTTCTACTTTACTAACTGTTTGGTGTGTATCATGAAGAGTTTTGTGGTCCTCTTGTTGCAATTTGCTGGCTTCCACTTGTGTCTGTTGCACTTTTTCAACAGTTTGATGTGTGTCGTTAAGAGTTCTCTGATCTTCCTGTTGGGTTTGGAGCACTTGTTGTTGTTTGCGAATTACGTCTTTTAATTGGAATTTGATCTCATCGTCATTTTTCATCCATTCAGTAACAGCGCTGACATAGTCCTCCCCACAAGGCTCTCGCTTTAATTTGTCCACTTCAGACGGATTCAATCCAAGCGAAACAAGAACGGAACTAACTTCCCGCCATTTCACATCGAACACTGGTGTTGGAATGCCAGTTGTTACCACATGACCATAGAGCTCGTTTCGATAGAATTTGACGCGAGCAAGATTAGCCTCTGTTGAGGTGTCACTCGCGGGAGGCATTTTGTGCCCAGGACCTGAGAGGGGAGGTGATAGGCCACAAATGTTCGTCAGTAAGAGAAACAGAAGAGTGATATCAAAGTTCTTAGAGTTTGGATGCCCTCCAGCTGGTGGAAACAGGTTTTCCCATTGACTCCCGTTAAGAATTTTCCGACGCAGAAGTTTAACAAGAATGGAATAGTTTGCATGAAGGTTACTAGCCAAGTTGGAAGGAGGATGATAAGTGTCAAAAATATTCCTCAGTACTGTTGTTCCACCATCTATGAGAAGTCTGCTCAGCTTGTTTCCATTCGTCTTTTCTACGGAGCTGGCCAGAGGTGAAGGTGCTGCGGTCGCCATTGAAGCCTGAGAAAGAAAAATCCGCTACCTGTTAAATCTGTGTGGAAAATTATAAATAAACTACAAATACGTCTCTCGCAACCCCTCGCGAAACTCCGTGTTGCACACAAGTTATTAATTATTGAAGCACACTCCTTTACGATTGGTGAGAAAAAAAAATATCGCACTAAAAATACACTTCTAAGTTAAAACTCAAGTGTAAAGGGGTCATTGACAGCATAACAGAGGATACCTGACAAGAAGTTTCTGTCCCTAGTTTAAAACTTGGAGGACGGTTCTACAAGTACCAATCATACACAATGACCAAAAATGCCAAATGTTTAATAAAATTTAAGAAGGACAAGTCAAATTTTGGAGGCAATCTAATGCCCTAGGAATTTCCCTATGTGCGATCAAGGAACAAGAAGCTCAAGTTTCAAATCAAACGTTGCTACAAAAATTTACATCTAACTCTAATGACAAAATGTCACGAGACAAGTTTACTCACAGGCTGTAGTATGACTTATTGCAAGTTGTAGAACCTCTATTTCATTAATGCTTACAAAAAGAAAACTAATATGATAAAAAGAACAAAAACGTTTCACTTACCACACCAAAAAAATGAAAATTATGATACCATAAACAGAAAACTGGGTAAAATGTTAAGTTGATTTACATGCTCTGAAGTCTCAATTTCCCCCACTTCCCCTGCACCCTGTCTTTCCCTTGCTTCCACTAACCCTCCCCTCTCCCATGCCCAACAAATCCCCACTCCTCCTCCACAACCAACACTTTCACTCCCCTTTCCCCTCCCCCTCATTTACCACAGCCACCATCAATGTGTTGCTTCTAATATATGCTGACAAAATTGTGCTCACTGGTGAATGTTAAAAATGCTAGAAGGGTGTAACAACAAGGACATGGCCTTCTCCTCAAAACACGAAACAACCCCATTTGAATTTCAGACCAGGGACAAACACACACCCCCTCCTCTCCTAAGAGGCCTCATGTACATGTATAACAGAAGCATCACATTATCGACAGTTATTGGATGACTATTTTTGTTGGGCCCAATTTTCATTTGGTTTTCAACCTAGATTGGGAAGAATAATGTCAAAAAGGAAAAAAGGAAAAGTGGAAGCATTACCTCATCCACAGGGAAAGATGCCAATTATTTAAGGCATCCGTGTATGCTAACGAACCGTAATTTCTAGCTGCATAAACAACTCATGGATGTATCTACTAATTGTTTTTCATTATTGTTTCACATTGTGATAATTATTTACATTTGAAGTTTGATTACATGTTCAATTGACATATGATGGAAACCCCATTAACTGACTAATGTTAAAATGGATTTTTAGAAGAAGTAGTCAAATTTTGGCAGTGATACAATGCCCTAGAAATTTCTGTTCTCGTGATTGATCAAGCAAAAACCATTGTATTGTATTGATCACTAACATGCATGACTGCCTTGTAATGCAGACGAAAATCAAGAGAAAAGAGTGCCTATTTCATTCATAACACAGATAAATTCTCGGGACATAATTCTACTTATAGCCGACAGCTATAAGCAGAAAATCAAGAATATTAACAGATAATATGAATAGACTGGGAATTAATAAAGAAGCGCAGAAACATTACCCGTTCCGGATTTCTTGAACTACATTTACCGACTCTTTCTAGGCCGTACTCTTTCAGAGTCTTCAAGTCTTCCTCAGAGGCTGGTTTCTTTTCTAAGGAGAACAGCGATCGTTGAAATTGTATCAAATCAATGCTGATCCATACCCAGGACCATAAAAGACAAAGGATCATGGAGTGCAGGATGGAGAGAAAATGTTAAGTACGCTTCGAAAATTTACCACGCAAAGCGGAAATCAGCTAAGTGAAATCACGAGGTGGCTATACCGGCATCCAAAACGCAAAAATACGCAATTATTCTGATAAAAAGATGCAAACTAACCTTGCTGCCAAGTAAAGTTGGTGTTTTATCCCGAAACATAGAAATCCCTGGGTTTAAATCAAGGAAACTTGCATCGGCATCGGCATCGTCGGCACATACCGTAAAATTCCGAAAATAAGCCCCGGGGCCGTATATTTTTCAAAGGCCCTTTTTGAGAGGGCTATTTTTGGAGGGGCTTATATTCAGAGAGGCTTATCTACGGAAGGAAATTTGCGTTTCAAAATCGATTTGGCTAGCCTTATAGTTGGAAGTAATTTTACCATTTTTGCTTTGCTTTGTTTGTATTTGAGGGCAATTTTCCAAGTACAAGCCCCCGGGGGGCTTATATTTAGAGGGGCGATTTAACGGAGAGTTTTTTTGCGCCTATATTTGGAGGGGCTTATACATGGAGGGGCTTATTTTTCGGAATTTTACGGTATTTCCGCAAGGGAGGGGGAATGTACTAAGATGATTGACGGCAGCGAAAACCGCAAAAGTTAGTTGGCCTTAGCGTGCTTCTATCTTTGAAAAGAGCAATAAGAACTGAGTCCGCCATTGTTATTAGTAGGTAACCCAAGGCAATTTGTTGCAAACGAGATATCTTAGTCATTAGTCTTAACTGAAAGAGAGAAGAGAAGTGAAGTCTTATGGATTCAAAATATATTTTTGATAAATTTTTACATTTGACATTTGATGTGCGTATAATAATGCGAAAAAAGAGATTTATCTTTAGTTGTATAGATCATTTTTACTCACATGGTCAGCAGCTATACAAATTTTTTGAAACAAACGGAAGTTTTAACATTAGAAAAATGTTCAATCCCCACAGGATTTTTACTGTACACCAACACGGCTGCCGTTTCACTGTTTTATACACCAAACTGGCCGCCGTGATTTCATGTGAAAACCATCGATAGTGGCTCAACGTGGTTTTGACAACACCCTCTCTCTCTTAGAACACAGAATGCAAAGTTTCCGGAAACAAAACAGTAAATGGCTGCACCTACTTAGAATTTCCAAATGTCTGTTTGCGAGATCGACGTATCCATGGGAACACGGAGGCGCCACTGCCATTTTTGCTGTTCCTCAATTTGTAAGAAATCTAGAGATTCGTTTTTGAAGCTGCTTATGGGACTTAATTGATGTTCATGTAACTGTCTTGCGTTGTACCGATTTTAAACAATTTTTATGAGAGAGATCGAGAGCTGCTTCAACCGGAAACGAGTCACAATTAACGCTTTTCGTATTCAACAGGCATTTTCGCTAGACTGTTCACAGTCCTCTATTTTTCCGTAAGATCATCGAGATCGAGCGCTTTGCGTTACGGGCTGCCATCTTGCATGAGTGTCAAAACTACTTAGATACCCGTGACGGTAAGACGCGACGGACTGACTCCTGACCCCCCTCCCCCTCCCCCAGCGTCTGTACGGTCAGCGTTCGGTCGTACGCTGACGTCATAACCAAATTTTCTCGGATGGATAGATTACCAAATTTTCTTAACCATAGGGCTTCGTACGCGCGCGTGGTGCTCCGCTATATTGATTTACATCGCCATTTTTCTTTTCAGTTCAGAGTTTCAGACAGTTCATGGCCGAATTTTGGCTGTAAACATGGCGCACTTAAGAAAGAAAAGTCAGACAGCCGGGAATGAAACAGATGGCGAACACGCTTTCAAAGAGATGAGAGATTGTAAAAATCATCAAAGGTATACAAATCACTTGGCTTAACAAATTTATTTATCTACTGTTAAAATAATTTTTACAATGCCTTAGATAACTTTGATGAGCTGCATTAGTATATCAATACCTAAAATTACTGGAATTTTTTCCCCATTTGTTTCTGATTTGTTTGTTTGCCTGTTTATTTATACTTAGCATGCAGTGTCTTTCAATCAAAATGGCCTCGTATTTAGTTTCTTTACAGTTGCAGATTAGCTTTAGCTCAGTCTGTTTATCGTCTGTTTTTCATCTTATTTTTAACGTAATTGCATAAAAAGGATGGCCTTTAGGATACATAATTGTTGAACCTCTTTTCTTAAGATTTTTATTTTCATTTTCGTTCCTTGTAACAGAAAACATATCAGATTTTATCAAAGCTTGACCCCGAACTTGAGGACTAAATAGCAAAGGGCGGACACTCACGGAACGCCATACGAGAAAAAAACGAGTATGGAACACCCGGATTATACCATACCAGATTCCCTCCTAAATGAGTATGTATTTTTGTAGTACTTCTCCTGAGGAGGTAACAGAGACGTTAAGTATTTAGACTGCGAAACTGTCCGTATTTTTGCGTGTTCAGGTACGCGCGAGCAGTCAAACAAAAGGTCTGGAACGAGGCTGAAAACGGAGAGCGAGACTGAGGGAGACGCTAAAAATACGCCCCACTCGCCCTACGGAAAAAGAAAAGCTCGCGCGCTTCGCGCGCGTAGGACTCTTACGCCACGCTTTAGCGATTTTAAGGAAAAAAGGTTCCCGGATGTTTTGCAGTCTAAGTATTAAACTCTTAATGACTGGTTACGAGGGAAACAGTTAATTTTGTTTCTCGAGAATCTCAATGTTGTCGAGGCGAAGCCGAGGGAGACATTGAGATTCGAGGAAAACAATGTTTCCCGATTGACCAGTCTTTAGTGATTTGTTATGTAGCTGGAAATTTTGAAGCTCGAAATTCATTTAACCTCGCTATAACGGCTGTCTTCTGTCAACATTCGCGGGTAACATTGCATTATTACCCTCTGATGTCATAGATTGTTTGCAATGTTGCCTGCTCAGAGAGTTTGGCAGGAATCAGTTCGTTGTTAGACGGCATGTGACCTCGAAGTAACCAATGAGACCGCGCACTGTTAAGAAGAAATTTCCGGCTATATAACAATTTAGCTTATCATGATGACGACTGAAAATATTAGTGGCCCGATTTGTTTTCAGAGGAATGATCAGTGTGTGTTGGGTTTCCCTACCGGGGATTCTCATATCACTAGAGATTTGAGGTATGATCCCGGGGGGTACTCCATGCGATGCCCTATAGGGACCTACACGGGGAGTTTCCGCCCGAAAGGGGTATCTTTTTCAGGCTTCAGGTATATGAAAGGGTGGGGAAATCTGTCATTTGGGTCTGTGAAAGGTCCCAAAAGGGGTAACAGATGAATTTTAAAGCTTTATAAAGTCGAGAAAACGTCGTGTTTTTGTGATTGATTTCGTCAATAGAAGGTAACGAAAGGGGTACCTTTTTCGTGAAAAATGATATTTTAAAGGGTAAGGGATACAAATTGTAAAAATTGTAAATTGTAGTTTGTTTACCCACGGAGTACTAAGGAGTTCATAAGAGCTCGTTGAAACGTGTCCGTGCGTTGAGATCGAATTGGAATTTGAGAGTGTTGGTTTTTAAGGAGAGGGAAAAACCGGAGTACCCGGAGAAAAACCTCTCGGAGCAAGGGAGAACCAACAACAAACTAAACCCACATATGGCGTCGACGCCAGGATTCGAACCCGGGCCACATTGGTGGGAGGCGAGCGCTCTCACCACTGCGCCACCCTTGCTCAGGATTGGACCTCGGGGCGAAGCCTCCCCGTATAGACATTTCCTAAGTACCCCCCCCCCCCCCCCCCCCCCCCCCCCCCCACCCCCCCACCACCAACCCCCCCCCACCCCGCACCACCAAACACACACACAACCCCCACCCCCCCCACCCCCCCCCCCTCACATTGGGGGGAGGCCGGCGCCCCACCCCCGGCCCCACCCTTGCCCAGGATTGGCCCTCGGGGCGAAGCCTCCCCATATAGACATTTCCTAAGTACCCCCCCCCCCCCCCCCCGCAGGGGTAACGATACCCAAAACACAGGGATACCCAAGTCACTGTGACATCGAAACTTTTCAAACACGCCCTTCGGAACCACAGCCGCGCGGGCGCAAAAACATCACTTTACCTCGACCTCTTGCACACTAATTATTACTACAGTATTTCTCCTGTCTCGTCCAAGCGCAATTTACAAGTGAAGCTATTGTTTTCAGACTCTAAAACAATAGCTACACTTGTAAATTACACTTGTAAAAGTTTTATTAAACTCACCCTGAAAACTATTGCAGATAGTTGTCCGGTAGCCAGGAGGTAAGTGCTTTAGCCAATTCGCCACTCTTCTTCTTTCCTATCACGTTGCATTTCATCTGAATGCTAGTCCTCCTACCCCTCTGCTATTGCGTTCGTGTTATTGTTTTGCTCACGGCCCTCGGGAACCGGGGTACAAACAACCATGAAAATCCCTTTGCTTACCCGATAACTCCCCAAAATGCTTTTAGCTTGACCTTGTACCCTAATAAAATCCGCAAGCTGTGTTATAATTGTCGTTCCACAAGATCGTAGCTTCCTTACGCAAACCTTCTCAGGGCCTCATCACGATGGAGGCTAACAAAATTGTTTCGCTTTAAAAGTGGCGGCAATCAGTATGCCCGAAACTCAGACTTAATTTCTTTCTTAACACACAGGCCATGTCGCGTCTAATGTGTACAAAGCGATTCAGGAATTCCACAGTAAAACATGAATCCGATTTCAATACTACAACAGGGCAGTCCATGGGGGTAACTACATTCGATTTGGAAACGGCGACGGGTAAGTTATCAAAAAGAGGAACCCAGAGGTGCGCTATGTTTTCTCTCTTTCTTTTTTTTCTTCTTTTTAAATCAATTCTTTTCTTAGCAGGATTAAGGCACAAAACTGCTTAAAATAATTACACAAAAAAGGTGCAAATAAATTACTTTGCCTGGGAGGAGCACGGAGGGTTGACTGAATTAAAG